GAATGACATGGTGCTGGCTTGAATTGATGACTTGATAAAGCATTTATTTTCCTTTTACTCCTCTTTCTCTTTCACCTTTCCAAGGTAAGACAAGGACCCCCCTCACCCACATGAGTGCTATATGGCGTTTAGAGTTTACAGAGTGCGGGACTGGTGGCTTGATGGCTCCATCTGATCCTTCCATCAGCTCTGCAAGTGCTGCTTAAGAAGAAACTGAAGCTTAAGAGAGTGGCCAGGCACAAATGGTGGGGGGAAGGGACCAGGGCTCACACACCTTCAAATGCCAAACTCAGTCTGAGCTCTGCCTACTGCCTCTTACATCCTCGTGCTCTTCACAGAAGAGTTCAAAATGAAGCACAGAGTCTAGGGGGCAGGAAGAAAGGTGAGGAGGACTTGGTGAACTTAGAATGGAACCAACAATACACAAACATGTCAAATGAGACATGCACAAACATTTCTGGGCCCTCAAGCAGAATGCTTATGAGGATGATAAGTGATATGATCATTAAAAACCTTATCTGGAGACCCTTCTTTTCATTACTGTCTCCTGTTATTTTAAAGATGAATTGGGAATAACAAGTGTCATCTGTTTTGAAGAATTAAGTAATTACAGTAAATACCATACGTGCACACACACTCACGTGTGCGCGCACACACATATACACACATATACTCCTAGTGAGATTTCTGAGAATTTTGCCTAGTTCCAATATCTTATACTTCCCTAGACTTTAAGATGTGTGGCAGTTTATTTTCTCTTGTTTTACTTGTGTCATACAGAGAGCAAAACTGAACAGCAGCTTGGGGCTAACATCATTTCCCATTCCAGAAAAAGCCACTGTCTTTTATTAGACAACACTCCTTTCCAAGTGCTGGAGCATCCATCCCTTAAGTTGTCCTTAAGGAGTCACTTCAAAAACCTGCAGAAATGGCAGCTGTGATTATGTGTTTTCTGTCCTTATGAGCCATTCTGGAAACCAAGACAAATGCATTGGCTGTAGAACTTGCCCAGAATCATACCTTCAATTATAATTTATCAAAAATGTAGCTTTCCTAAATTTTTCTTGCAGAAATCTTATAAAATCTGAAATTACCTGATTATTGAATTTTAAGATCAAAAAATATTAACAGTCTTCCATCATAACATCTTGTATAAATGATAAATAAAGGGAACCCAACTAGCTAGTAATAGAATCTGGACTAGAACCTAGTTCTACTGATTAGCAATTCAGTTCTGTATCCAAAATACTGCATTGATACTAAGAAATTCCAAAATCAGATTCACTAGAAACCGTGAAATTGCTATGGCCATAGCCAACTGATATTTCTAGGAAGTTCTAATCAAATAGATATTCTGGCAGAGGAATAATTCATTTTCAAATAATGCTAATGATCCCTAAAGTATAGAAATAAACTCACATACTTTCACAATACTCCAGAAGCAGATGTCAGTTATGTGGAGGCTTGCATGGGCATAAAATTAACACTCAAAAAACTAAAGCCAAACCAAGCCTCCTTCATAAAAGATGATGCACCAAAATGCATCCAACATAACCTGCAAGAAGTGATCTTGAGCACAGGAATTAGGGAATCTTTTCTACAGAAAGCCATATTGTTCTAGTCACATGATTTGGATATGATGGGAGAGATATGGAGTTGTGGGAGACAGGGAAATGAGAATGAAGATGCACAGAGTCAGAGATCTCGTTACTCACAAATCATAAGGATATTTAATTTGCATTTATTGCCTTGGAGGAAGACAGAGTTGGACACTCATGGAAAAAGTGTTTGAATTAAAAGCAGAGAGATGCTTTAGAATGGCCTGATTGAGCAGTTATGGGATGACAAAGGAGACACTACTATACAATCAAATCCCAATGAGCAAGTTCTGAACCAAATTACTTCTGGAATTTGGTTTAAAATCTTAAAAAAAATGCTAGAAAGAGGTATTATTTAGTTCCTCTCTCAGATACCACTAATTTCAATTCTTTTGCCTATCTGAAGAAGCGTAAACAACTGTCACTTGCAGACGCATTTGGCCTGTAGTAGCACAATGGTATGTAGGCTCTTCATGAGCAGGGACCATCTACACTGCCACATCTCTTCTTTTGAATAGAGTTTTCTCCTCTAATGAGAAGTGCCTCAAATTTTTCCCACTGTGAGAATAAAAATCATGGATGTTTGCTGATGCCAGATTTTATATTTTTTTATCAAGCAAATCCACATATTAAAGGGACATTCCTGTGACTGATCAGTGTGACTGTCTTACCTTCTAAACTCACGGTTCAGAGGTATAAGATAAAGATGGGGTCAGTCCAATGAAATGTGCTAATTCTCAATCAGATTTTACTGTTAATTCATTTGCTAACTTATCTCCAGCTTGAAGAACAATAACTGTCATTCATCATCACCATCATCACCATCCACAGCAACAAAAACGAACATTTGTGGATCATGGACTGTGAATATAGCTCCAGCTTTGCAGGACCCACTCATCAGAAGGCAGTCCTTGGGCAAGTACTCACAAGGCTTCAAGTTATACATCTGAACCCACTGTATAGAAGGATTGATGGGGAAAGGTTTAACTACAGGAACTTGAGAGCCATTGCACATCTGCATGGCTAGAAAGTAGCAGATATTCTATTGAAAGATGATTGGGAGTCTACAGGAATGTTTGGAGTGGTTAGGGTTTGAAAATACCCCCTATCCACCCTACACACGTGAGAGTCTATTATGGGATAAAATCTGCCAAACCTAAATCATTGTTCCCTCAAGGAACATCCTAAAGTTAAGGTAGTGAATGAGTCCTAGAGTTGGACAGTGACTTGAGTCTCAGGGAGTCCAGTACATTTGAAATCCAGGCCAGCCTGTAGTAATGGTCTTCCATCAGTAGCTGTACCAAGAAAAATAACTGCAGGCACTATTCGGGATACCTTTCTTTACTCACTCTAATGAACACTCTTGCCAAGCTCCTGTTTCCTGAGAAGACACAGGCTTGAGAGTTGTCCCTATGAGCTCCTATCAAAGCCATGTCCTCCTGAATTGAACTCTAAATCTGGTTGAAGGCCCTTTCTCGTGGGCACCTGGATGCTCTCTTTAAAGACTGAAATTCAGCAGACTGGAGGTATGTGGTACAGTAAGCAGGAGATAAGAGGAAACCCCTCTTGTGGCAGGACAGGGAGTTCTCCTATCTGTTGAAGCCATCAGTCATGGCGAAGCTGGTTCTACAAGAGACATGCTCTTGAATAATCAGAGCTCAAAAGAAGCTCAAGACAAGAAGGACAAGTGAGTTGGCAAATTGGTAAAGTGAAGCCTTCCTCATAATGCCACTTTACAAAGTTGGCCGCGACCCACCAGTTACTCCTGGAAGGTTGATGATGGACTGACCTAAAGTATGCTTAGTAAATGTGAAAGAGAAAGCTCTGATTCAAATAGGGTAATGTGCCACTACGTCCTCTTGTCCCAGTAAAGTCTAGGAAGTGTCACTTTGAGGATGCCTTGGTACATTTTATTCAGAGGTGTTCTGGGCTCAAGTTTAGCAATACAGAAATTACATGTTTTGCCCACTGTATTCTAGTGAACCATGATCTGTGCCCAAATCCTCTGGTTAGTGTCTGAAGAAATTGAGGCATGGGAGAGCTAATAAATCTCAACCCACCCACTTTCATTCTAAGGAGACCCAAAGCTCCTTGCCTTTAGTTATTCTGGGACATAAGGGTGGAATGATACCAATGCAGCCAAAATCTGTGAGGCTTGGCCACAATGTTCCAGACCATGCTGCTGGGAAGGAGTTGGGATATCTGGCACCTGGCGGTGGGGGTGGAAGGTCAGAAGGGCACAAATATGAAATCAACAATGTTTTCTCAATTTTGCTAGTAGCAGCTGGAAATGGAACAACTCCTTTCTGCATATTTCCTACTCTCAGGTGCCATTGACCCCTGAGGACACAAGTTCAGTGATTCCTGAGTGTTTTGGCTCTGACCTCATTTCTGCCTCTCAGTGAATCTTCAGCTACTTATTTAATTTCCAGAATTAATCAGAACAAGTTAGAATTATTTGAATACTATTTTGTATTAAAATCTACCTTTTCTCTTAATTTGTGGTTTGAGGCAAGGTTTGTGGAGCAGGCATGGAGGGAAGAGAGTCTCCCAAACACTGCTTGATGGGATTTGGGATTATTCAACACCAACCCACAATGCTTTGAGGGTTTTTTGTTTTTGTTTTTTTTGTTTTGTTTTTTTTTGTGATAGCTGCACTATGCTGCCTCCTGGAAATAATTACACGTAAAAGCCTTTCCCTAACTGGACTCGACACTTAGCCCAGGTTATGAGGGGAGGTGTCTGGACATAGGGAGGATGCTGCCAGCCTCAGCCAGGACATTCTGAAGGCATTGGAGACGCAGTCCCCCTGAGAGCCGCCCCTCCTTTGCTTCCTTTAGGAGGATGGAGGTGGTTTCCTGAAGCCCCGTCTGTCATCAGGAGGGGTCTAAAGAGCAGTAGCTTGAGCCAGGAGCCCACCTGCTCCATGTTCTTCACACCTGAGCCAGGCAGGCTCTGCCCCCCTCACCCCCCACTTGAGAATGAGGTACCACACCAGGTGAAGAGGGACATGGAACACTTTTTAATGTCAAGTCAGAGACAACCCCTCCCTCCCCTAGCCCCCAATCCCACTTTCCCTCATCACATCCAGGACCCCTCCCCGAGGCCTCTCTGGTTCCCAGGCTTCTGGGGAGGAAAAAAAAGTTACCTAAAAACTGCATTTTCTTCTCTTTCATACACACGCACACAAAGGTGGGAAATTAAATAAAATAAACCAAGAGGATTCAATTCTCCAGTGGTCACAAAGGCATCAGAGATTCCCATAATGGGCTAAAGCAAGTGGTTACTGACTGTTTAGCTGTTCAATTGCTCGATGTTTGTTCATGCCCCGAGGCCTATGAGGGCTTTCACCTCCGAGAGCCACACCTGGAAAAGACGCTGGCCTGGTATTAGCGTTTTGTGTTTTTTTCTCTTTTCACTTTTTATAAATGTCTCTGACATGTAAATAACCCAAGAAAATAAAAAGGCAGGAGCTGATTACACAATTACCAGTAAACTCTATCATCTTTTAGAAGATCAACACACAGCTAACGCCATATACAGCATGCAGTAATGTCTGAGAAAGGACCCTGCTGAGAAATAAAATGGCTAGAACTCTAACAAAAAAAATATATGTGTATATATACTGTATAATATATGTCATCGAAAGAAGCATAGCCAACAAACTCAAGATACAGTGCAGATCACCCTTCCATTTCTACACAGCATGTAGAAGCACAGTATTTTTCTGCATCAAATGCCAGAATAAGGAGAAATCTGTAGCGCTGGTGGAGATGTTGGTTAAATCGTAAGCATGTTTTTTTGGTGGATTTGCCAAATCCTCACCAGGTGGTTAATGCCTGGTGTGTGGTCCACCAGTTGTAAACCTAGTTAAGAAGTACACTATTCATTTTTAATATTTACCAAACACACTTCTCTTCACCCCTTTCATTTGTGTATTTTTTTAGTTTTGTCTTGTTTTTGCACTAAGTTCTAGACTCATATCAGAAAATATAATTAATAAAATTAATAATGAATCAGAATCCCTTATTATCCATGATGTCCATGTAGTAAAATGAAAAAAAAAAAAAGTTTAACAATATCTTTTGTGACTGTTGATTGTGGGATTGTTGTAGCTGTCAGGCTGTCTTGTTTAGTTTCCTTTTTCTTTGTTTTTTTTTAAATTTTGTGTTTCATAACACACCCAATAGTGGCACAGTCTACGAAAGGGGCCGCAGTGGCACATCTGGGCCCACAGGTCTCACTGTGTTCATCTCTATCGACTGATTGAATTTGGGATGGCCGACTGCAGAATTTTCCTTGGTGGGGGCATGTTAGTGGGCAGAATGGCTGAGCCCTCGCCCCCGTGTAACAAAGAGGTCATGCAATGCAGCTTGCAGGTGAGTCCAAAGCCAGGTGTGTGTTCTTCCCGTTTAGGAAAAGAAAGAAAACTCAGCTGTACCTACATATCTGCAAGGCCTGCAAGGTGACTTTCAATTTCCTTTTAAAACTTGTTTTCCCAAAGTATTCTTTGTCCCCTCCCTCGAATTTGTGTCCCATTGGACTCTGTTTCTCTGAATGTTGTTTGATGGTATCGTATTTAGAAACGGGTTTGCGCTTGCTGCTGTCGGAGTTGCTTTGCTGTTGTGTTGGTGGTTGCAGTGGTGGCAGCATTTCCCCAGTGGGAAAGTGGCACTCACATCAAAACTTGAGGAGTTGGTGCAAGACCAGAAGAGGTAGCAGCCAAATGCAGCCTGCCCTCCTCGACGTCCCGTTGTTCACCTCGCTGACTGCGCCCGGGCCTGAGGAGAGAACACACTCGTCAGGAGCCACCTGGTATAAGATGGAACCTCTGTCACCTGGCCTGCTGTCATTAGGCCTTGCCTCTGATGAAGCATTCCTCTAACTGGAAGCATTTGGTGTTCCAACTGCTTACATAGGGGCTGCATTAGAAATGAACCTTCTATAGCTTCAATCCCCTGGATGCACAGTCTATAATGGGGAGCGTTCCTATGCAAAGAGAGAATATGAGGATCAGGTCAAGGTGGGCTGGTGGCCACTACTCCTCTACTGTGTTGTAACATGCTAAGGCCAGGCCTCAGGGTCAAGTTCAAGAAGAAGGTGCAGATTAATTAATAGCCTACACAGAGCTTCAATAAAGTAAGACCCCTCCATTGTTTGCATCATCATCCAACCACTTCTGAGCACTGCCTGACTTGACACTCACATGACCCTCCAGCTGCTCAGCCTGTCGTGCAGGAAAGGACCTGCTGGACGCAACGATCTGTCTCCCTGCTGCTGCTGTGTCGGGAGTCCTGTCCATCATGTCAATCACCCTATCTCAGGGCAGTGCCTGGGCTTCCACCTGGAGAACTTGGCCCCTTCCCCATCTGGACGAGGTAACAGCACACCTAGCGCAAGTATTACATGCCTGAAGGGCCAAAACCAGCCTGCATGCAGTCGAGGTGGGATCCAGTAAAGGAATAGGAGGCCTCTTGCCGTGTACATGGAAGTAAGGGAAGATTTACATGGACAATGGGATGCAGAACCTCCACAGTGTATGTCTTTGGGTGGGAGATGGATGATACCTTTCCCTAAAAGGCACACACCAACCCAAACAGATACAACCCAAGGCCAGAACTTCCTGGCAGTGTAAGTTCTCATGATGAGAAGCACAGGAGACACCTATTCTGCCCTCCTTGCTGCAGGGAGGTGACCTTCTGGGCAACACAAGACTGAAGGCATCTGCCATGCAATGCTCTCCTTCTCCCAGTTCCTGGTGGGATACAAGTGATCAGGAAGCATTCCTGGAAAGCTCCCGATGATTTACATTTCAATTTCAGAGATGCTTATCGTTTACCATTGGTCACTAATTGGTTGTGTCTTCTAAAATCTTACTACTATGTTTCTATATAAACCACCACCAGGAACTCCCTCTCTGATATTCAGTCACTCTGTTATTATACAGCAGCCTTTGGAATCCCAGGAGAGAAGCCACTCCTTGATACCTTCTCAGGTGATAGTTTATCTGTTTCTGTACTATGAGGAAGCCCTTCTGCTCTGGGCCACGGCAAGATCCTTCACACCAAGACTCTTGCCTGTGCCTGAGGCTGACTCTTAAGACATAAACGCTGTTTCTGAGTCCATTGGACTAGCAGGACTTTGTGGGAGCCCAGTTCCATGTTTAAGCTAGGCAGAGTTAGTGGCTGTATTCTATCTTCCCATGTGCGCATTGCACAGTGATTTCAAATGTGTTCTGCATGTCTGGCACACCGTGCTCCTAGCCAGACACACGTCCATTGGTGCATGCCTCTTTTTTCTCTTTCGTCTCTTTTGCTCTCCTGAACGCTTACACTCACAGCTTTGAAAACACTTGCGCATGCATCCCAGCGCATCCTTTCCCCCACCCCTGTACCCTAGCCATTGCTAAGAAGATGCCCTGAAAAGAGAAAGGAAACAAAAGACAGTTCTCTGCATTAAATGCTCTCTGCTTCTCTCCTGCATTTCCTCCTTTTAGGGCTACCCAGCCAGTGGAAGTCTCCAGCAGGGAGAACAGAGAATGCCACAAGCCAGGCACACAGCCCAGCAGGGACCTGGCTTGGTTACCATGTAAGAAGAGTCGGAAAACCTTGTTTGCAGGCCAGGGACTCTGCAGTGCCACAAGGGAGGTGGCTGTGAGCTGGCAAGCAACCCCCGGGGCACCTCACAATGGCTAGGCGGCTCTGTAGGTGCTCTCTCTGGGCACTGTGTTAGGTCTCCTTGCTGCTCCTCTCAGAGTGCCTTTGTGGCTCTGCTGCCTGCTGGGATGCACCACAGAGAGCATGTAGGGAGGGTCCTGACCCGGTATGTCAGAAAACTCTTCCCATAGAAGAAAGGAAGAGGCCACGAGTGTGCCAGAGCCTCCTCTTGCGTGTGTTGTTACCCTGGACAAGCTGTGGGGCCTCTCTGCTGCTGCCGTCTCCTGTCACTCACTGTGCAGGATCACAGCCGGCCTGCGCTCGCCCCCCCACACTCTCTCCCCTCACTACGCCCCTTCCTTTTCTCGAGCATGTCCAGGAAAACTGATCTGGACAAAGCTGGACAGAAGGAGGAGGAAACAGGGGTGGTCTCTGGAGAAACACTGAGGCAGGGGTACTCCGCACATCCTCTCAAAGAGGACACTGCAACAGCTCTCCTTTCAATTTCCAAAACAGTTAGCAAACTGGGCCTTGCCACCTGTGACCTTGACCCTTTGAGTTTATTCTTTATGCTAATTCCAGGGTGATGTTTCTACAATTCCATGTTGATCACGTTACTGAACTATTTGATTTCTACAGCCTTTACAAAACTTCCCAACTGCTTGGTAGAACACTCACTGCTTTTCATAAGCTCACGATCTGCCTCCTTAGCCTCTCTTTCTGCCACATACTCTTTGGTTTCTCCCTGCCCTTGACTCCATGCAACAAGAGTGTGTACCCTCCAGCCATATTCTCTTTCCTTTCACACCCTCAAACCGTCTGCCCCTCTGGTTGAAACATCTTTCACCCAACTCACTCCCACTTCTTGTTCCAGGTTCTGTTCTGATCCCCAGTCACCTCCTCCAGGCAGCCTTCCTTGACTCACTCTGGTTTGCTTCCACAGCACCATGTACATCCTGCTATTAAAATAAGTACCACCCTGTGTTGTAATCTCTTTATTTGTCCAAGTTACATATTTCCTCCTCTATTCAATAAAAGTTTGTTGAAGGAAGGAAAGAGCCAGAACATTGTGATGCGTGTGGACACACCCATATTTACTTTGTCTCTGTGTTTTTCTTTCTCTTAAGATTCTACTTGGAGGAAAACAAAACGAAAAACAAAACAAAAAACTTGTTTCCCACCTTGCCTTCTACTTTACCTCAGTTTTCTCTTCCAAACCTCCTTCCCCTCTTTTCCTAACTCTTTCCAATAAAAGTCACTGAACGTTCCTGTGGTTGAGGGGTGGTGTACACAGAAGTAAAACCACATCGATTAGGACTGCAAGCAGAGTGCTTGCAGCTGGAAAGGTGCTCTGGTCCCTTACAGACACTCATGTACAAGGTAAGGATTATTATCTATCTCCTGCTTTAATATGTGAAAACTTACCCTTAGAGGGCTTAAGTGACTTCCTCAAGGTCCCTTGACTTCTATCTCCAAATGCAATTTTCTTTCCACTAACTCGGGCCTGCTGCTTTGTGTAACTCTCGCATCTTCAGAGAATGAAGAGGAGAGAGAGAATGAGGCCTTGGGCCAGTCCCCAGCCCCTGCCCTCCGGCTACCAGTTCAGGTGAGAACCACACAGGACAGCCCTCGCTCGCCGCCCCATGGAAGAATGCTACGAGAAGAGGACCTTTTGCCCACACAGGTGCGACCACAGTGTCCTGGAGCAAGGCTCTCCCAGAGCCAGAGCTGGCCAGAGTGACAACTCAGCCCATCTGCCTGGTGACACGGCCTCTGTTCTTCATCCAGCCACGCCTCCACTCCGCTGTGGATGCCTTTTTTTTAATTGCCTCTATCTCATTAGAGAGCTGCAGAGGCCTAAAGAGACTAATTACCAGGACAGTTAGGGTCCCAGAGAACTGTGATGAGTGTCAATTATCCACCAGAAACATCTGGCAGGAATGAAAGCCTCAAATAAGATGCATTTTATTTGTAGCCAAGTGACTCACCCAAGAACCACCCTTTTCCTTCCATTTTTCCCTCCCTCTAGCCACTTCCCTTCCAGCTCCAAGTTAGAGAGAGAGAGAGAGAGAGAGAGAGAGAGAATGAGGTTAGCAAAGGGCAGCATGCAAAGTCAAGGTCTAAGAAGGTCGTTGCATTAAAGCAGCCATGTGCAAGGAAAGAGGCAGGCCTGGCACAGAGGAGCTAGACATGGAGCTATTCTGGGCACTGGCAGGTGCTCATTAGTGCTGCCAACAAAGAGAAGTTAAATGTCTGCAGTGGAAGCTGCCCAGGGAGAGTGGTGTGTCCTTGGGGACAGGTTAATCTCAATTGACACAGAGACAACCCAAGGTCAGGGAGCGTGCCCACTGGGCTGCTTCCTGGGGTTAGCTCAGAAGAGAAGGCGTCTCGGAAGAAAGTGACGAGTTTTGCATACCCCATTCCCACCAAGGCAGCAGCTGCCTGGAAAATAAATATACCAACCTTTCCAAGGGGTCAGAGCTGTAGTTTTCACCTCTAAAAGAAATTAAAAACAAGCCACTGTTAAGGTAGAAAGCAGCCAGAGGCACTTGCTTTGCCCTCAGATAGTTTTGGGAACAGCCAGTGCTCTGGCCCAGGGCCTCCTCCAGCCCTGGGGCACCTGCCTCTTGCTGTCCTGACCACAGCCCAGCCCTCGTACTTGCCCCTCTCTGGTTTTCTGGGAAGTCGGTTGCCATGAAGTTGAGTTGGGGCCGGCGGAGGATATGAATGACAGTCAGGTTGGATCTCTGAACCACAGAGAGCCACACATCCACCTTGTTTTAGCAGGGAACTCAGGGACTTCAAGCCTGGGGCCCCAAGCCAATAAATACTTCTTTGTAGAACTTTCTTTCTTTGGTCACCAGACTACCCCCTAATTAGGTGAAGTCTGTAGGCTTTAAGTATAAAATTGGCTAATGCAAATGGGTTACACAACAGCAATTTGAAAGTAAGTGCCCATGCTATGTTTGAGATGTAAAAGTTTGGCATTTATCTACGCATTTTAGAAACACTGAGGAGCTAGGTTACATGTGCCAAAGGAGCCCAGATCTTTGATATCTGACTTCTCTTGATGCCTCAGACTATAGCAAGCTGGCCCACAGGACTTTATCTCTCTGGACGACCTGATGCAATAAGCATCTGCTACATTAGCACTTGCTGGGACCCGCCTGTGGAGATGCTGGGATGCCAGCTCCTCTCTGCTGACTGGACCATGAAAGATCCCCATTTCACAAACTTCGAGCTCTCCAAAGAATCCACAGAGCCTCTTCTGCTGACAGCAGATGTCCTGTCTGGCCTGAAGTAGTAAGATCTCTAATCTTTGACTTCACTCTTTAGGTAGGGGCCTCTGCAGTTGTTCACCCTGGCTATGGAGAGGATGGAAAATCCTTTCACAATGCATATGTACATCAAATCACCACAATGTATGCTTGAAATATCTTATGATTTTCTTTGTCAATTATACTTCAATAAAGCTAAAAAGAAAAAAAAAGAAAATGACATTAAAGTCCTTTGCATCGAAGTGATACCATTTTCTGTGCAAAGGTCCTCACATTTAGAAGGAAAGAGTCTAGATATAACTTGACCTAAACTTAACTAAAACATTTGACCAAAATCAGATGCATACGTACTTGTGCATTCAAGCTCTCAATCTATTCTTTAAAGGCACCTGAGATATAATAGCCCTCTTGATCTCAGTGGACATTAGCAACCCTGAGACGTCACTCTGAAAAAGATGCAAGAGGTGATCTATGCTCAAAGATCAAAGGGGTGATTCAGAGAAGATCTGATGTAAAGTCCGGGTGGTAGAGACAAGCCAGGAGGGCTGCTGGTGCCATGTTGTCTGCGTGTTTAGCAAGGACAGTCCTTGGAGTGATTTCTGGGCCCTAGAAACCAGTTCAAAGCTAAGGAGGGGCTATTTTCATGAATTGTCTCATTCAGGTACCACTGACTTAAGTCTTTCTGTACCAAGAAGGAAGATAACTGGAAGGAGGGAGGACACTCTGAAGAAGGACTTTTGGAGGGATAAAGCGTCATAGGCCTTTCACCGCCACACCATAAGCAGTGCAAAGGTAGGGTACGTTTAGGGGAGAGTAGCCCATAGAGTGATGGGAGTGCTGGCTTAGACTCTGCTGGAGGACCGACACAGGGAAGGGTTCTGTTTGGTAGTTGGGATTGTTGGAACTATCAGAAAGAGAAATAGTTGGAAAGCAAAGTTCCTGCAGTGCTCTAGATACCAGAACTGATTTTCTATAAGGCAAAGATCTCAAAACAACTTCAGCTTAATTGTTCTCATCCAGCTACTTTTTTCCCTGAATCTCCAACCCACGCTCCTTGAAAGAAGGTCAACACTCTAGTGTCCACATAGGTAAAGGACTATTCGAGACTCATCCTTGACCTCAGCTAGAACTTATCCTTGGGCTTTTCCAGGTAGCAATATTTCAACTCTTCTAGTTGACTAGAGAGCGCTCCTGCCCCTGCTTGTATCTCACCACAGTGAGGGGGGAAATGCAGCCAAGACAGTCTTTATATTTACTCTAAGCCCTTCATGCTGCACTCCAGCCCATTCCCTTTGGTTTGGTACTAAGAAGAGATGTAGAAATGCTAACACTGTCTTCTTTATGCTGTTTGATGTACTATCACTGTTGGGCCCAGCTTCTAGAAGTATGAGTCTTGCTTGAGCTTCCAAAGTGAGCACTACCCATAAACTCAAGCCTTTGAGTTAACTCTTGGCTAGCAAGAAAATAAACAATCCCTGAAAATCCAAGCGTCTATTTTCCTCACCAAAAGCTTGACTGGAATTTGTGAACTTTGTGTTGCTGAGAAGCCAGGTAGAGTGGAAAAAAATATTCAAAATAAAGAAAAAATGAAATAAAAGAAAAAAGAAAAAAAGAACCCCTCTCCCTGCAAACCTCCAACTCAGTTTCTTCAGTCAACCCATAAAGTGATCTTTTTGCCACCAAAGCCAATGCTTGTACCTGAATCCAAGTACCGAGGTAAGCACAGGGCTGCTTGCTGTCTGGTTCTAGTGGGCAGAGGAGGCTGGTTTCATGTCAGGATGGATATATAAGCCTTCTAGAAAGAGGATGAGGGGATTTTTTTTTTTTACATCTTCTGTTATTTAGACACATGTGGCATAGAAATGCTAACTGCTGGATGGCTAGGCCTAATTAACTGTCTTTAATCGTCTGCAGGGAAGAACTGATCATTTCTTCTACTGAAATTTTTTTCCTTCTGAATCAGTTTACTTTAGTCCCCCATTCTTTAATAAGCTGGTTTGATGGTCACTGTGAGGTTCATAGGCATTAATCAGCCAACCTTTCCCAGCCCGCTGATACCATCAAATCTGACTTAATGCTTAGGAGATAAAAGACAAAGGACCAGTGGATGGAAATGAACAGCCACCGAGCTGCTGAGTTTGCAGTGTGGGCCCCAGCACACTTGCCTGTGAAGGAGTACAGTGAGGGATGCTGGCACATCCCTCAGTCCTTATTCATCATGGCAGGAGTCCTGCTCGACCAAATATTAATATGAGGGTGACATGCAATCTGTTTTGTTTGCTAAGGGGAGCAGACAAATATTTCAAGTGTGGCAGAAAATGCCAAGGAGGAATGAAATTCTCTTATTGGAACCTTTCTACTCTGTCCAGATATTGGGTAGCAAAATATCTTGAAACTTCTCTTCAAGCCAAGGGCTCCCTGTCACTGGAAATCCACACATTCACGCAAATCTTGCTTCATATTTGTCCCATAAGATGAATGTAACTAACTTGGGAGTATTCCATGAGAAAATAGGTAGCTCTCTATTTTATAGGAGACTAGCCAAGGAGGAGGAAAACCAAAAAAAGTACACAGATGAATGAGGGAAATGTCCCAGGTGCAAGGTCTGTTTTCTCTAAAATATTCCTTGGTTGTACAAAAGAGTCCAAGAGCTATACTGAAGGCCAGACTAATCCAAATCTTGGAACGTTCTAGATGTCTACAATCTACAACTTCTGGCCCTGATCCAGTGCCCTGCACTCAGTGAGAAGAATGAGGAGTTGAGAGCATCTTGAGAATCAGAGTAGAAAGTTGGCTTAGAGATCCTTTCACCCAAGTTCATAGTTGAGAGCAGGGGGAAGTGAGGCAGCCAGCTTTGTCTCAGCAGCTGGAGACTGCTCCTGGTCCTGTGCTCAGCAGTCAGGTAGTGCTTGTTTGTTTCTGGTCAGTACTGTTACTGTTGGCTTTGGAATGGAACGATGCTTTCTCTATCAGTTACGTACACCTTCAGTTAACCACTAACTCCTTAGCAACCACTACCTGTTTTAAAATCTATTATTCCCTCTGAGAATGAAGAGCTAAGTGATCAGAATGAGCTTAGTCACTTCTGAAAGCACATCCTGCAGCATCATCTGTCTTAGCTCCAGTCTCTCAAATTTCCCTTTGACCATTCACGTTAGTTACTTTTCTAAGGCTCTCTATTTTAGATCTGTGAATATGCCTCACAAGGGGTTCAATAAACATAAGTTGAATCATAAGTTGAACCTGAAGGCTTCTATTGACTTCACGTTTGCTTTGTTTCATTTTCCAGTTTGTACTTCATCACCATGGCACTCTACATCACGAAGGTGACTAATGCAGCCCTGAATCTTTTCATGATAAAAGTATTTTTCTCATCTGTCAAACAGCTTTCCAAATAATTCATTTCCTTCCATCTCCTCCCCTACTTTTCAAGTCTGCCATCCTCTGATGCTTGTTTGCCAAGCCAGAGGTGAATGGATGAACAGGATGGGTGTGGGGTGCAGTGGGACGAGAAAGGTCAGGGGTTGGAGTAGAAGGCAGACAAAGCCATTCCCCATTGTCTTCCCAGCTGCCGTCTCGCTGGGCTGTCCTGTGGTCAGCACTGTCCCTATGAGGAGAAAAGCAGCACAGGCAGCATGCATCTTATTCTACCACTCAGTCCAGCCCCACTTCTGCCTAAATGCTTAGTCATGGTGTTAGTGAATCATTCATGCTAGGCTGGTGACCTTGAGAAAATTTGAAGATCTGTGCAAATAGAGGCGAGAGATGTAGAAGTCATACATAGGGAAGGGCTTGGGGTGCAACAGGATATAAAGGGTTGGGGAGAAGGATTTGAGAAATGAGTTAATGAACCCTCTGACATTACCATGAGGGAAGTCCTTGTCTTGCAGCTTGCATCTGGAAATTGGACTTTAATGATTCAAAATGCACCAAGCAGTTTTCAAAGCCTTTTTAATATGTAGTCTCAGTTGAACGTTGGAACAACTCTAAGGTAGATGAGGCAGATAATTCCATTTTATAGAAGAGGAAATTGAGTCTAAATAAGGTTTAGTGACTTGCCCAACAGCACAGAACTACTAAATGTCAGGCTCTGAACTAGAATTCAGTTGCATCCCACTCTAGATCACTGCTTATTGACTACCACGCATGCTGCACCATGCCTACCTTTCTCCCTTGGAGAACCTCATTGTGAACCAATTGATGCATTTTAGGGAATATTTGAATCTTCATGCAAATGGTGTTTGCTTCTGTTGCTGAGGGCCATCAATAGGACTCTCGTTATGAAAACTGTTCACTGGGTTGGAGTTGTCTTCCTATTGGTTCAGACTCACTCTCTCAACCTTTTGCCTTCACACAGGTCTCCAGGCTTTGCAATATTAATGATGTTTCCTTTCCTTTCTCCCCTCCAATCCTTCTGGGGAAGTGTGGGCAAGGGATGAGCAGAGAAAACAGAGCTATCTTTGGAGTTTCGCCAGCTCGCAGTGACCTCCTTAGCTTCCACCACCATCCTCTAAGTAATTTTATAGGTAGGATCCTTGGGTAGTGCATAGCAAGGGGGAAAAGGAGATGGGAATGGGGACTCTGGGAGAAAGGGGAGGGGAGAGAAACCATAAAGCAAGGGGGATACTGACCTTGCAACAAAGTTGAGCTTGTAGGCTCATTTAGTTCTAAATCGGGTGAGGGACATACAAGAGAGAAAAATGAAAACAAACACATATATTATATACAGTAGCTATATATTTGTCATATATAGTTTGTATACTGCCTTTCACAAACATTTCTGGAGGAATGGATAAATAAAGAAAGACACAAAAACCAAAGGTGGTAGGACAAGATGCAGCATGAGAAGCACTAAAGTGCTTTATGCTTCCATACTTGGATGCCACAGTTGGGAAGTGAGGGAGCTGGCCACTTGTACATTTTCCAGTGCAGATGGATTTACTCTTAGCTTCTGCTGAGTTGGGGTACTGATTTACTAACAAAGGACAAAAGTCCCTTTCCAGATGAGATTTTTGTCCCACATCTCCATCCCCATTTTTTCACTTTGGGAGACCAAATCCAGGAATTTCTGATCCCATGGCACCACGGCAGGAACAAGGTCCCTCCAGGAACCATTGTAACTCAGGATTATGGCAGCAGAACTCTCCGAGTCTCCTGTAATCTCTGCAGTTTTAGGGATCATATGCTCAGAACCATAGTGGTTCATGATAGGAAGGACCACCCCTGCCCCATTTGGCCTAAGTACCCTCAGAGATATTGAGCACAATGGGAGCCCCCCAGCACCAGCATTCCTCACTTGTCAACATTCAGGTCATGTGCAGAGGGTGTGCAGTTTATGTGCAAGTTAGTGGCAAAACGATGATAATTTAGCTGGCTTTCTGTGATGCTATGAACTTCATCACACAGTTTGTATATTCGCATAAAGTAAATTCTGCTTTCCAAATTCGCATGTCTGCTTGATGGCTCTGAGCTGATGGGTCTTCTGATAATGGGAAATGACATGAAAAACTCCCTAATAAGTTTATATTTGTCAAACAGCCTTATTGATGGTGGGCCTCAATAATGAGTTTAGGGGCTGCAATGTCTGGATTAGCCTCAGTGAGAGCCAATGGAGTGGAAACACCCATCTTGCACATTAATAGGATTTCACTAGTTCCATGGAACTATGTCACCCATGAGGCATTTCTGTGATGGGCTCCTCAGAAATGGTCTCTCAATTGAGGCTAAAAAGTTGGTTTCTGTTTGATTAAATTTGGAAAATGCCCCAAACTTTTTCTCCCTCTTAGAGATTTAGCATGTAAAGATTCTGAGACTTTGTGCATTAAAGAACATCCCCACAGGTACCCCATTCACCATTGTTTGACTGGGACTTTCTAAATTGATTTGAATACATTCTATCACTTTTGATTGCATTTTTTTAGAGAACCCTGAACTCCAGAAAGCTGGCAGTTGCAGAACCACCCCAAATGATGCAGGGTGAACACTGACAGACCGCTGGCGGGGGGTTAACTGCCACACATAGGTCTGCTGAGAAGAGCAGATTCATGACACATACTTCCCCTCATGCCTTGTCACAAATGCCAGCTATTTCACTCTTAATGTTGGCTTTTTCTCCCTATTCTCATCTTCAGATAGCTTAAGGGGAAGAGGTCAGGGAATTAGATAGTAGTGATAAAGCCAATTGCAAAACCATTTCATGCATCCAAATCAGAAGAGTGAGGAGGTCAAAAGCAGAGGATGACTGCTTACAGGAATGAGGACTGCTGTGGGTGGAGGGGAGGACTTGGGAGGGGTGGCAGGGAAAGCTAGGGAGAGCCTTAAATTTGCAAGGCAAGGGAAGGAGGGGTCTGTTCCTTTCTAATCCTGGCCCTTCTGTTCATACAAACATACACCTGCCACAAAGCCAAAAAGCCCTGACAAATGTGAGGGGCAATTATGATCAACCCTGTGTGAGAGATGTCAGACAGATCAATCACTCTAACCACAGCTCTGCCCATTCTGAGCTACCAGCTCTGGGATCAAGAGCAGACTTGCCCTTCTCAGCCCTCCTGGATAAAGCGCGACTTTATGTGCTGGATAGAAGGGTGATAGACTGTGACTTGGGAGCAGAGATGGGACAATGGAGCAGCACAGGCAGGTTATTTGGGGCACGTTGGATACACTGTGCCATGGAAGGGATGTAGCAGGGCCAGGGGGTGAGGGTGAAGTACTTGAAGCTATGGGGTTATCTGACAGTTCTCAGAATAAAAGGATTTATGTTCTTGCCAACTATCTGCTAACTTTCTCACCTTTCCGTCCCCAACACATCACTGAGGTGTTTATTAACGTGGAAGAGTAGGGGACCAGATTTGAAAAATTCCAACCTAACTGAACTTGTTGGGTATGGAGGGTTTTGCCCCAAAAGCAACCAGAAATTAGCCCTGTAGCCATAAGGAGAATCTGCATCTATCAAGGGGCAGAAGCCATAACTGGATGCCTCAAGTCCTGCCTGATGACACAGACATGCATCCAGACTCACTTTGGACTGGTTGTTCTTCTCACAGCAGTTCCAGACATCCAGGGTCTACAAGGAAGCTTGTTTATTGCTTCCTTTACTTGCTTCTGGCACCAATATAGTTGCCAGATATGTAGTGAAGACATAGCAATTTGCTTTGTACACATTAGCCCTTCAATAAATCGTTGTTTAATGAATTAATGCATGAATGACTATGTGACTTCCGTGAGGATGGTGGCTTGGCTGGATAAATATATCTTAATCCAACCAGACAGCACCCTTTGATGCAAATGGAGAACTAGGGACATCCCGTTCTCTATGTTAATTCTCTCTCTGAAGGTAATATTATTCAGGATCCCCAGGTCCATGATTCCACTTTTATAAATATAATTCAGTTTCTTCCATATCCCAATGGCCAGAAAACATTTCAGAAATGGTAACATTTTACACTAATCCAATGAACAAAGTATTGAAGTAGTAAATGTTCCTCTCTGGGCTATTTACTATTATACCCAATTATAATCTCCATAGTTAGTTTAGGAGATATCACCGAGGAGAAAAAATTAATGTCACTTCAGCATCCCAAAGCCCTTTTCTCCTGTATCAGAATTTTTCCCATTATAGAATGACACATGAACCTTTCTTTTCCTACTCCCAGTATCTACATTCACACATGTACCAGTTCTGTCTCTCCTCTTTCTTCCTCTTCTCGCTCACCCCCGCCTGACTAATTCCCAACGTTCTTCAACTTGCCCCTCTGGGCCTTCCTTCCCAATTCCTCCTCCTCTGAATAAGCCTCCCCTCTTCTACTGCTCAGCTCAGGGCTCAGTCTTACCAAATAGTGTGATGCTGGCATTGGTGTGACCCAGCTTGTTGGAGGCCACACAAGTGTAGTTCCCATAGTCATGTTCAGAGACATTGAAGAAGATGAGTTTTGAGAGGAAAGGTCTGTTTTCCACTTTGACCCCCTTCTTTCCTTCAATCAGTCTGAGACAAACAAGAGAGACAAAAAAGGAGAAAAAAGGACATGGTTATATTTTTCTCATGAGAAGAAGATAGACTCTGGAACTAATGATCTTCTCATTGCCCCTGCTCTGACATCATTATAACTGCTATTTTTTCCATTCAAATACACAAGAAGTTCACACACAATGATGCACATAACTGTATTTCTCTATTTTTATCTACGTGTCTGGAGACACTTGTGGCACCACACAGATATTCACCTCTCTATATAGAAATTTAAGTTCTCTGAAGGCAGGTGCCTTCAACAAACATGATGTGCCAGCTGTGTGACATTCAGAACAATATTATTGACACAGTAGCTGCTCAAAAGTGTGGACTTAATTGATGTTGATGATGGTGATAATGAGTATGATGATGGTGATGATGATGACAACCATGAAAACGAAAAGCTCAATCTTCAAAGAGAAGAACAGCCTGAGGGGTTTGAAAGAACAATGTTTTTCAAGCACCTGAGTAATAAAATTTGCCCTTAAAATTTGAGGCATTCTACAAATAATACCTTATTTGGGGCTGTGAATAGGAAAAAAAAGTCAGCAATCATTTTTATGTTTGGGACTCAGAAGGGCTTAGGAGAGGTGATCTGCCCAGAGTATCATAGTGAATCAGTCTGGGAAGGATTATAGATTCCCAAGAATATGACCCTATAGAGCCAGGACAGTATCCCTGAGCAATCCATTATGGCAGTCCAATAGGCCACAAGGGCTCTCGTATTGGTGGTAGGGGCCACTAGAGAAATGCCACAGATAGTGGGGAAAACAGATATACTTATTGGAACCATGGATACCAATACTGGGTAGTTGGGGAGGGTAAGGAGATAGCTACTTTAGGGGTTGGTAGGGCCATATCCTCCATCATAGAAGGTTGTTAGCAGAAATTCCTATTAAAATTGCATGTCTACATGGAAATTATAAGGCCAACTCTCTTCCTTTTAAAGACTCTGGAATGTCCTATTTCAGAGAATTGGCTTTAAGCCAAACTTTTATTTTCCCTGAAATAATCTGTCTTCCTTGTCTAGAAGTTGATTCCATGCTACGGGAAAAATAAATACTAGCGGGAAAAAAAAAATCCTTCTGAATGGAGGATCTCAAGGAACATGGTCACAAATCTAAGCTGCCTGTTTATGGCCTGGCTGGAGCAGGATGTGTAGACAGTAAACAATGTCAAGGTGGATGTCTTTTGGGACAGGCTCAGGGGACACAAATTGGGGCAAATGGCTTGGTATCAGAGTCATCAAACTGAAAAAGACAATATTCAAGGCAGAAATAGAAAGTGAAGCCCAGTAATACAATGATGAGAAAATCCTTCATAACTAGGAAATGTTCTTTAATATAATACATTTCTATGGAGTTAGATATCAAGAAGTCCCGCCTGTCCCTGGGTCACAGTATGCTTTTGGCATAGAGTGCAGCTGCTTTGTCATTATCTGAGGGTGTCATCTCTGTAGGAATACAGGATGATTCTCTCGACCACCAAAACTTCCTGTGATCAGTGATCAGAAGAGAAAGCCAGGTTCTGGCTTTAGTTCTCACCCAACATCTGTCTCCAGGGAAGTCAGAAGGTTGGTTGGAGGGACTTGTCTTGTTTTTTGTTACATAGATTTTCCTCTGGTAGTCTTTCTCTCTCATAAGCTGGGCACAGTGAACTGGCCTGAGTCCATGGACTTAATTAAAATGTGAGCACTGTCCGAATGGAATGAGGCATCTGGCTGTGCAACCAGACACCACTGTTATATTTCCAGCTTGTTATGTAGATATTGATCCTCTAGGGGGTGCTGTCCGAAGAAGGGTCTACAACCCACCCACCCGGGGGCTTCTTGGAGCTCCTCAAGCCTATTGATCCCATTTGCCATTCTGATGCCATTCCCGGGCTGGGGAGGAAGCCTTCACATCAGAACCAAGCTGGGAATGAGATTTCAGTTCTGCACTGGGGGGAGACACTTACTTAAAGCAGGTTCCTGCTTGACAGCCCTGAAAGGCCTTTAGCTAAAAGCAGCGTAGGGTGGCCAGCAACACTTTGCAGCTTCTGGGATGACACACTTGCCTTTTCTCCATGTGGTCACATTTCCCCATCCCACACTGCTACCAGGCCTCAGTTTCTTAATGAATCTGTAGGCTTTTCATTGGCTCATGTCCCCGTGGATGGGCGGCCCTTATTAAATACAGCATTCCATTTCCTCTCCCTATGACTGACGACACACACAGTGGCATGCAATTGAGTGGTGCTGGTATGCAGTCAAAAGAGACCTCTACCCTAAATTTTGAGAAAAGTGCCTGTCCCCATCACAGAGACTCCTTTGATTTGCCTCAGATGCCCGCTATTTCGCTGGGAATGTGAGCTGGGTTCGAGCTGATCTCCCTCCAGGACACGTGCAATATGCCCTCCGAGACCTGCCTGGAGGAGGTTGCCTGCCAGCCTCGGTGGCATGAGAAGGACGAGCAGCAACAAGGACCTGAGAGGCGGAGGTGTTCTTGTTGAGCTGTGTGCCAGGAGGACAGACAACTCCATTCAACGGGGAACACTGGAAATAATACATGAGCAGCAAATGGAAAACCAACCAGAATCAATTAAAGGGGAGAAAAGGAGCTGCCAGCAGAAGAACTCAGACAAAGGAGGAGTCAAAGCGGCCTGAGCCAGGGGCCTCTGAAAACCCTCCCTGGCGATGCTATCTGGAGGTCTCCTCCTGGGTGAGTGATGGCAGAGGCTGCAGCCTTCCTGTGACAGCAGCCATGCAAAGCACAGCTCTCTCTTCCTTTTCCTCGTCTTGGCCATTTTTGCCTATGACCTTCTCTACTTTCGTCCACATATTATAAGATCTTGCTTTCCCCTACAGTTTGCTTGTATTTTTCTCCCATAAGTAATTACAAAATACGATACAGCTGATTAATTTTCATGACGACCTGGACAGTTGAAGGTTCAGGAACTGACTCCGCAGCTCAATAGTTTTGTTGTTGTTGTTGTTTTTTCTGATACTGGAACTTCATGCCTCAGTTTTCCTCTTAGTACAATGAGAAGGGAGGGAGGGACAGAGAAGCAGGATTTCTAAGAAAGGTAACCAAGTTTATTTATCAGGGAAACACTACTCCCTTCTGCTTGATTCTGAATTCTTGAAAAAGGGAGAAAGCCAGCTATTTCTTCTTATCTCTCTGTGAGTTTGCTTTTCCTCTTTCTGCCTCAGTTCTTTCATCTATAAAATGGGCTGGATGAATACAATACACTTAAGAAGGTGTCAGAATTTGTACTTAAATGTGAAAAAGCACTGCTTCTCATTTGGAAGGATTACGATGAGACACAGTGAATCCTATGACTAAGTGAGTTTGTTCTAAACAAAATTCAGTGATTGATTCAGAGACTGGAAAGCTTTTGGTGTCTGAATGACCTTACAAGGAAAGAAACCCAAGGCACCTTAAAGATGTTCTAAGTCCTGTGGCAACAGCTGGACGGCTCCTGGCCTGGAATTGCTCACAAGGCTCTCCTTACACAACTACCCTCTTTGTTGTTTTCCTTCCGTCTCAGTTTCTCAGCCTCCGTAACGTCTTCCTCCTTCTCCACCCCACATACACTGCAGGACTTTTTTGCATCACCTCTTCCCCATTTTTATGAAAGTGTTCTGAACATGGACAGCTCTTGTACATTTATTTGTTGTTCATCCACCTTCAAACACTTCTTTGATACAGTAATTGTCGCGTTGCTGGCTGTCCTGAGCTGCTGAACCCCGTGCTAACCTGCTGTTTGAGAACTCCTCACAATGACAGTCTTCCGTGAATCACAACAAATATCCCGATGACGGCTACAACAATGGGAGGGAAGGGAATAGTCACCTCTCTTTTCTCCCACAGTGAAAGAATAACCTGGGCAGAAAGGGAGGGCTAAATCGGGTCCCGGGCTCTTTTGTACACGGCTACTGATGGAGTCTGGAACTGGACTGCAGACCTGCTAGCGACAGCTAACTGGTTAGCCACTCCCAGCACCCGTGAGCATTCCTAATGCCTTAATGTAGGCCTGAGAATGAGGGAAAAATAGCTTCAGGAAGAACATATTATTTTCTTGGCCTATAAAACATGCACAGGCTTTCCAATGCTCCTGGTGGCCTTTCTTTTGAGATTTTACTTTCCTAAGAAAATGTTTTCTTTCAGGCTTATTGGTCGGCGAGTGATAATTCTGCATGGCAACATTAAAAGCACAGCTGAAATTCATTAATATTAAGAAAAGACTCGTTTGCATATTGTTTCCCTCGTATAGAGAGGAGGAATTCATAAGATTTTATAGGGATTCATTTGCAACCAACTGGAATCAGCAACCTGAAAAGCTTTCCTCTTGTTGGGGAGTGGTGGGGTAGGGAGGGAGTCTTTACCTTTTGTCATCCTTGTACCATTGGAATTCTGCCGAGGGAACTGCTGAGGCTTCACACTGCAGTGTCCCCTTTTGTCCTACGGGAACACCTGTACCCTTAGCTTCTGAAATGTATGGCGGATCTGCAGAGAGAAGATGTCCCGTAGCATTTTAAACTGCATTCTGAAATGAGGCAGACGGCCTCAGTCACTGATTTTGTTTTCCAGTCCCTGCTCTACCTCTGCTTTCTTGAGCTGATGAATTGCTATACAAATTGTGCCAGAGAATGAAACCATTCAGTGTTGTTCTAAGGAAAAGCTGGGTCTCCCTAGCATGTATTGCTCCTGTTCCCCTCCATACAGAAGTGGAAAGACCAGGTATTTAGGCATATTTCCTGTTTAAACTTTTTAACTTTCATAGGATAATGCCAACCCATCAAGTCCACACTCCACGGGCTGACAGTCAGAACCTTTAATCAGCCGTACAGAATCGCTGCACACTAGGTTCTTGCCAGAGTACATACCCTCGAACTATTCAATTCCCATCAAAAGCTTAGTTGCAAGAAATAATATTCATGGAGAATTTCCTGAAGGACACTCAGATCACTCATTCTTCTAGGTATTCTAAAACGGATTCCTGAATCAAGCCAGACCAAACGAGACCTATATACTTGGCCAGCATTCATTTGAAGTCTTTACCTAACTACCCTTGACAATTCCAACAGTTTGCATTGAAGTACATTATGAAAAACAGCCATAATAAAATTACCATTCTATTTATGGCCGAAATATCATATTGATGTTGTTGACAACAACTATAGAACTCTATTTGTGGAGATCCTAAGAGAAATCTCTCTTGGGTACCAGGAAAAGCAGTGTTTCTCCCAAGCAACTAGTTTGCTTTTATCTATGGACATAAACCTTAAAGCAGATGATGTGTCTCTTTTTTTTAGCAACTCAAAGCCAAACTCTGGACCCACATCTAATCCCCTTGTGGTATATATTTCATGCACTGATTCATCCCTGGCTTTCACTTATTTTCCTAAATATGTTTTCCCTTTGCTTACATTTCCTTCTTTTTTAGGTTAATCTTTATTAACTGTAAGTCATCCTAAAATTTGCGGTAGGCACAAAAAATGGTAGCATTGTTATGTCTATTTCCTTGCTTCTTAAATTGCTTTGCATTAATTACGTTCAAATTGTAACAGAAAGCAAAATTTTAAAGGAAAGAATGAGTAACAACATATACAATATTCCTCCTCTACCTCCACCCCACCCAAGTCTTGAAAAAGAAAGGCTTCTTGTCTGCTGGTTTAGTTCTTCTATTCAGTCGTAAGACTTCCTGGAATGGGCACAGCAGAGAAAACTTTCAAAATATCATAGAGAACTGAGTCAATGTACATAATGAGGAATCAAGAGGGGAAAGGGTGAGAGAAAGGTGGGAAAGTTGAGTAGAATCAATGTCAGAGACAATTTGGATGGTCAATAAGGAAGAAGGAGTGGTCCAGTGGCCTCCAAACTTTTGGATTCTGTACCTCTATTAGTCAAAATCAGGTTTCAAGGTACACTGTCTATGTATATGTTTATCTATTTATATTTAAATTATGAAGGTATACTATGATGTACATCAACATATATAATTGTAAAAGGATGAAATAAATTAAATATACTATAAATAGAAATTGTAATATTTCCCTTATACACCTGGCTTTTTTGCTCCCTATTATGGAGATGACTGTCTAGAGAGTGAGAAGCTTGGGGACACTATGAGTAAAGTATGGGAAAAATGGGGATTCAAAGACCAGTTCATATAAATTATGCATTGAATGCCATTTAATGATCTTCCAGGAATATAAGTCAAGTTTGGGATTATATTAATTTACTTTAAGCTACAATTTTTTTTTAACTACAGTTTGGAATTGTTGCTCTTGAAAGCAGGGAATGGACAACGATCCTGCATTATTTGCTGTCCTGAGTAGGCAGTTGGCTCTGCCATCAGCTCTTTGTTGTGGCCAGCCTCATATGTATGCAGGGTGGGGGTTCGTGGGACCACTTACAGTTCACGGTGACCTTTACTCTCCGTACCACTGGTGCAGCCACATCGTTGGAGGCGCTGCACTCATAGTCCCCCGATTGCTCCCGCGTGATGCCCTGGATTTCCAAATATTCATCTTCACTCACAAAGCCCACAGCTGCAGGAGACGGGGTGGTGATTAGGAGAAAAAACACCAAAGGTACATACTTAGAAAAGAAAGTATAAAATGGTTACGTCTGCAGAGAATCGTGCCACTTCTACGTTCAGATTCTTAGGAACTATGCTGAACCTCCCGCCCTGCTCTTCCACCGCTTCCATCGCCAACGTTTCCTTAGTTCCCCAGTGGACCAGCTGACATGTTTGTGTTCCGACCTGGACTAAGTACAGTGCCTAGACAATTACTGGTTCTCGATACGTGATTAATAATCTTGACATTTACACTCTCTGAATCTTACCAAGCAGTCAGGCTCCGGGATCTGAGTTAGGCACTTTAGGAGACTTAACTCTTTATGATCTCAAGATATCCTTTAGACTGAACCTCGAAGTGTAGAGTTGATGGCTGCATCCCAGACCACAAATCAATTAAAAGTACCACACTAGCAGTTACACACACACACACACACACACGCCACAAAAAGCAGTGGAAACATTAATAAAATAAATTTAAATTTCTGTTTTTAGATTTAGACACTCAATTAGATAAGCAGAAATCCATTTTCTAACTTCGAAATGCTAGAGCTCTTGGGTACAAGATCCTGAAGAAAGATAACAACGGAGACTCCACACTCTAACCACAAACACAGCAGAAAGTAAAGACCAAGAAGACATGGCTGCAAATCTTGCTCTGTCAGTTCACCATCCTGAGACTCAGTTTCTCTATTGAAAAATTATGAATCATAATAATAGCATTCCACCTACTGGACTTCTTCCCTGAGGTCTGGCCATGAGCATTCAATCACGGAACGACCGTGACATTAGAGCCTAGAAGGCGGATTTCACTGTGCCCATCCTCTCCCTGAGCTTCAGCCTCCTTGTGGAGAGACGGTGGAGAACAAAAGGAACTGCTCACGTCCCAGGATTATCCTGCCTCCTCTGTGAATGTGAAGTGAAGATAATTAGCCTGATGATACATTTTATCATGTAAACTGGGATACTTTTAAGAGTAAAAGAGGGTGCTATTAATAGTTACTATGGGACAACAAGCATAAATTGAGACTCTCTTTGGCAATTGAGAGACATTTTCTCAGGCATAATATACATATAATCTTCATACCTCACAGGGTTGTTTGAAGTAACAGATGAAAAAAATATACAGGAAAGCACTTTGAAAACTCTCATGTGCTGCTCACCTTTTGCCTTAGTTAGCAATCCTGTAATCTGCCTAGAGGCACAGACTCAGGTGGAGTGAAGCTTTACTAACATGAGTGGCCCCACATGAGTGGAAAGAGAAGAAAGGCGCATTTCTCTTCAGGTGATAAAACCCCTCCATAACGCCACATCTATCTGCTGATCCAAAGCACGAAAATGATAAGAGTAAGAAAGTAGCATAATACAAAGAATGATATATGTGGTATGTGAGTTATGGTTGTATGTATACTGTGACATTGTTAAAGTAACCATTTTTCTCAAGATAACAACAGTAGGATTAACAATGACAACAATAACTAAACAACTATCCTGTAAAGAAGGGCCTAACTCTGCCACCACTCCTTGTTCCTGATAAGTCTGTGCCACCATGTAGTCATAAGCCCAATCTGAGCATTTCCTTATGTATCTTCATGCCATACAGAACTGACAGTATATATGTGCAGAAACTCTCGTAACCCTACTACCTACAGAAGAGCAAAGGAACAGCCTGTATCTGTTACAGCAAGCAAGCAAGAGCTATTCAACTCACAGGAAGAACCAGGGACATGTTAATAAGTAGAAAACAGGGCCCAAAATCCAGGATATGGAGAGGACAATCAACATTAACCCATACTGAGTCACAGTTCCAACCCCTAAGAAACTTCTAATTGTCACAGTAGTCTTTACTATTACTATTGTCTAACCATCTTTAGCGGAAAAAGTACTAAACTTGATTTGAGGAAGGGTGGAGGAAATGAGGAGAAAAGGTTTAAATGAAGAATTTGTGATTTCTTTTATGTTGTCATTGTTTATTTGCTACCAACCTCAAGCCTACATTTGTCAGATCTTTCCCTGCTAGAATGCTATAATTACTGTGCAAAGCATCTCAGAGACCAGTGTCACACTTCATATTCCCATTAATTTTAAATGGTAGTCCTTGGTACATATGTATGGCAATTGGTGTCATATTTTAATTAGGCTTGCCCTACACCATCTGAAATTAATAATAGCTCAAATTACCAGTGTAATTTATAAATTAACAGTGCTGGAGCATTAGGAAATAAATTAGCTCTGGACAGCTGTTTCTGGATTGAGTTCCAGTGTCGGAGCAGTGACTGGTAGGACCTCAGAGCTCCTGGTAGGCTGTGCATTACACCACCAAAGCAGGGAAACAAAGAGACACAGGGTTCTCTGGGTCTCTTGTTTCTTCTATCCAACTAGAGACCATGCATCTGTTTGAATTCTACCATCCAAATATGTTTCTGTGTGACCACAGTAAGGTTTCCAGTGACCAAGCTTGGATGAGCTTGTTACATGGACATCTAAATGGAGAAGCAAGTTGGGGGATTACAGTCATAGCCTGAAGTGCAAGTACACAAATATTAGGGTAATCACAATCAAGAACTCATCAAGTGTTCTGTGGGGACGTGTGTATTAGCATATGTGTAATTTCATATATTAACATCAGGCAATCTTATGTAGGGAAGGAAGTTGGGTGGCTTAAGATTTGTGGAAGGCATATGTTCTCCACTGATCCAGAGGGAGGGAACCCTTAAGTCATCCTGCGAAAATCAATGAAGATGAATTTTACTATCATGTGTTCCCAAGACCAAATGTAGAATTATAGAAAAACCACAATGACTCCATTGCTCACCAATTATTATATGTACACTTTCCTATTAAATTGGGTAAGGTATATGAAAATTAATTTGCACGTAGTGAAATGCTTTATACATTTTAGCTTTCATTGTCATTATTTTCACCTTCCTCCTCATGTACTTTTTCTCTACCAGAAGCATACAGGGCAAAACCAGAGAGGCAGAAACCAGTGCACACGTAACAATGACCCACTTGAAATGAGATTCCTATAGGTGTGGCTTAAAACAAACAAACAAACAAACAACCACCAAAAAACCTACTAAACTGAAATCTGAATTTATAGATTTAATGATTCAAGGCAAGTTTTCCTCTAACAGTATTTGTACTCTGGCTATAAAATGATCAATGCTTTATCACTCCTATGAAGAACTTGCAAAGGATATTGATGGGGAAAAAAAACAGATCAACAGAGCAGACTTTTTAAAGTGCTAAAGGAAATTCATGGTTAACAGATACCAGTGGGAAAGAGGCAAATCGCTTGATAAAATCCAACGAAAAGAAAGTCTTCATGGTCAACAGCTTCTCATTTATAAATCTTTCTTTTCTAAAGAAAATGCATCCTTGGGTGGAAAGGACACACTCATCTTCCTAAAATATCCTCGTCATCATGTCACACCTCTTCAGACACTAAACTGGCTCCCTATTTTCTGTAACATCAAACTCAAACTCCACTGCCTTATCAAAGGACTTCATAAAGTAGCCCCAATCTACTCATCCAGGTTTACCTCCCATTAGTGCCGTGAGGAAGGCAACAGATCATCATGGTAAAAAGCAAGAGTTTGGGATCAGACACATCCAGTCCTCTACCTTCAAGATGCATGATGTAAGTTGCCTAACTCCTCTGCACCACCATTTCTTCATCTCTACAACTCAGTTAGAATAATATTACCTACCTCTAGGGTTGCTTTGAGGATGGAATGCAGCTGGAACAGTGAAAGGCAAGTGATAAGTTTTTATAGGTGTTAGCCACTATAATCATCATTATCATCGCCACCACCACTACTACAATTCTGAAGCCAGACCACACTATTTTTCATCTTGGACCAACATGATTATTCCTTTTTCATAGATTGCTTCTATCACTTAGAAAGCTATGTTTTTCTGTCATCGAAGCAAACACCACCTAGCTTTCAAATTCTAATTCTTCCATGAAAACTACCTGGTATGGGTTGAATTGTGGCCCCCCAGAACGATATATTGAAGCCCTAACCATCAGCACCTCAGAATGTGACCTTATTTGGAAATAGGGTCTTTACAGAGGTACTCAAATTAAAATGAACTATTAGGGTGGGCCCTAATTCAATGTGACTGATGTCCTTATAAAAAGGACACAGACAGACATGCGCAGAGAGAAGACGGTGTGAAGATGCCCAGGAAGAAGACGGCCATGTGACCGCAGTGATGCATCTACAAGCCAAGGAAAGCCAAGGATTGCCGGCAAACACCAGAAGCTAGAAGACACAAAGTAAGATTCTCCTCTGTAGTTGTCAGGGAGAACACAGACCAGCTGACATCTTGATTTTGGACTTCTAGCTTTCAGAACTGTGAGACAAGGCAGTCCTGTTGTTTAAGCCACTTAGGTATTGGTACTTTGTTATGGCAGCCCTTGGAAACTAATACACTCTTGTCTACCTCCTAACTTTCACGGCCTGTGGCTATCCTGCACTCTTGTTGCACATAGAGCTCATCTAGTTTTTAAAATCATAAAAGAATTAAACTAAAGAGCTTAAAGGGACATTAATGGTTATAAAATTCTATAGTTTCTATGCTAGGACATAGTCTGACTTCAGTAGAACTCCCTAGAATAGTTGTTTAAATATAGATTTCTAGATCCCACCCATACCTACTAAATCAGAATCTCCTGGCATGAAGAGTTTTAAAGATTTTACCAGGAAATTCTCAGGTATAGCCAAGTTTGGAAATTAGCGATTTTGCTTAATCCCTGTATTTTTAACAGGGGAAACTGAAATTTGAGGAATCCATGTCTGGTTAGTGACAGAACACGGCCAGGTCTCTTGATGTCCAACCCACAGCTCCTGCAACTGTAATAGCATTTTCTAATGGTTGTTTTATGCTATATGCACTGTCTTAATTTCCAGTGCCATTGAAACTCTTGACAGCAGGGACTGAGTCTTGGACATCTCTGGCTCT